AACCAATGAACCTCTGAAATAACATGCAACCTTCAGTAGCACCCACATTTACCAGGGGAGAGGCTGCCAGGGTTTCAGATCTCAAAAAATGTCCCTGATTTTAAAGGTCACAGCCACCAGGGCTCACCCTCCACATCTTAAGTGCATCATTACATTTCCACAATGAAATCACTGATGCTAGTAAAGATGACCATGAGTAATCAAGAAAATTTTAAATTGTGCTTAGTGTTCTCCGTCCTAAACAAACACATACCATGCAGTTGAACCTCCAGCAACTTGCTAACCTTGCTACTTCTTGCCCCTTACTCTGGGGTAAGAAAAAGAATGCCCAATTTATTCTTCAGTTTGAACCCTCACCAGTAAAATCTCCACTTAAAATAACTGCTTAGAAACTGTCATAGGGGCTGCAGAAACTCTCTTAGATCTCACGTTAACAGTTTCCTCCAAAGGAAACATTAAATGATTGGTATTATTAAAACTAGGCCAATTTTGAGTCCTTGCAACAAGAACAAACTATGGTTTAATTTCCTCAACAAATAAACCCTTAGAGCATAAAGTTTTAGAAGTAAATTTTATAGGGCTAGGGGTGTAGCTCAGTGGTAAATGAGGCTCTGTGTTCAACCCTCAGCACGAGAAAGTTAAATTAACTTTTATTTCCACTGTCCTCAATCTACCTTGCTGTATCTTGACAGTACTAGAAGAATCAAAAGCAAGAGGCGGAAGACTAGACTGCTTAGAGTAATCCAAAGGCTGGTCACTGACTATGTGTTATGTGTACATCAGATACCATTGTTCTGGAATTAACAAAACATTAAAAATGAAAATATGCAGCCCCTTCCCCAGTGACTGACCTTTCCGTTCTAAGTCTGGTCATCTTTATTTTTATTGCTTTGACGCAAATCAGTAAAGTTCTAAGCTAGCAGAAAAGGTCACAACATGGCCAGAGACCAGCATCAATCCACGACACTCAACCCCAGCTAAAGTTAATGCCACTTCCACTTGTAGGTACAAGGACCTATAGGACCATTCTTGCACTAGGAAGCACAGTAACTGCATCAGAGCCACCAACTGTAAAACACCCTCTTAATCTCATACTGAAATTTTTGCAAAAAAAAACTTTATCAAACAATGAAAGATTTTCGATTCAGTCTCAACTTTGAGATTACAGTCCAAGAAGACAGCAAACATGGTCATTATTCGAAGAATTTTGGTAGTGTTGGTGGTAGAAACCATGGCACCTACACATGCTAGGCAAATGCTCTACTACTTTATTAGAGCTTATAAGATGTTGAAAATGTAGAAGAATTCAAAATACTAACAGTATTCAGTACTGTGCCTATTTTCTGTTAAAAGCTTGGATGAGAGAAGAAAGTTTAAAACTGACAACTTGCAATGTTTAATGATTCAACCAAAATTTTTAATCCAAATCAGATAAGAAGCAAAGATGTGTTGGCTAAGAAGTCCTCACTTCTTCCAGAAGATATCCATTTTATAAAGCTAGTAGGGAAGCTGGGCTTATAAAGCAAATTCTGACAGACTACTTACTAATTGTAATGGTGTAACTCGTAACCCAAAATACAAAAGGCCAGGGAAGGGCTTTACAAGGGAAGGTACTGAAGCAAGAACTAAGCCACATTTGTTTACCTCCTCACTCCCAGCTCTAGGGAATGATCAGCGCTGGATGACTGAAGTACAAATGTGACAAACCTTTTTCCAACAAACATACACGCGAATGCATTAGGTAAAGAAACTTCATCATGGTATTTTTTTCAAACAGATGACCTGAAAGCTAAGATTTCCAGATTATAACAATTTTTTATTTCCAGACTCCGGAGGTTAGGGGAAGGCAACAGAAGCCAGGGCCTTCACACTGCACTACATACCCAGTCCTTTTCGTTTTTTATTTTGAGATAGGGTCCTGCTAATAATAAATTACCCAGACTGGGCTTAAACTTTTCATCCTCCTGCCTCAGCCGCCCATAGCGCTGATTACAAGGCATGTGTCAGGGCTGGGGATTTAGCTCAGGGGCTGGGGATTTAGCTCAGCGGCAAAGCGCCTGCCTGGCAAGCGCAAGGTCGTGAGTTCGGTTCCCGGTACCAGAGAAAAACCGAAAA